GCCATAGCTTTTATAGAAAGGCATTTGGTTACTGGGGCCACCAGTGGTGAGCCTTGATCTGGCAGCCATCCATAGGGGGTGTGGGAAATAAGGACAAAAGGCAACCCCATGAAGAAAAGTCAGAGGGACCACACTTTGCACTTTACCTAACAGTCAAGTTAGCATGCTGAGTAGTTTACAGTCTCATTGGGCCCTGACCATTTAAAGATAGGAAAACCCACTGCGGGGCTTTCAGCCTACAGCTGGTCTGACTCACCCTCCCTTGATGTAATCGACAAAAGTGAATTCAGAGTCCACAGAGAAGGAGAGCAGCGTCACCTGTGAGATAGAAGAGGCGGCCCTGTCACTCTGGAAAGGGCAGTTGGGGCAGCAGAAGGGAGAGAAGCTTCATAAAGCTTTGGAGAGAGGTTCCTGCTGGGAGGCACATGATTCTACTCCTGCCCCACCCTGTCCCCCATTTCCCCCCCCCCTTTTTTTTTTTGGTACTGAGGACTGAACACTGATTTTTTTTTTTTTTTTTTTTTTTTTTTTTTTGAGACAAGAGTTTCACTAAGTTGCTTAGGTCCTAAATTGATGAGTCTGGCTTTGAATTTATGATCTTCCTGCCTCAGCCTACTGAGCTGCTGGGATTACAGGCATGCGCTAACACACCCACTTTATGAATAAATTTAACAAAATAAGTGCAAAATTTACATTCTGAAAACTACTCAACATCAGAAGAAATTAAAGAGATACTGTAGTCAAAACAAACTTGAAAAAGAAGACACTGGAATGACACTGAGTTCAAAATTTACTACAATGATTACTAAACTACAGAAATCAAGACCATGTGGCACTGGCATAAAGCTAAAAATATAGATCAGTGGAACAGAATGGAAACTCCAGAAATAAAGCCTCATCTCTGCTCAATTTTCAGCAAATCTGCCAAGACAATTCAGTTGGGGAAAGAATAGTCTTTTCAACAAATGGTACAGGGACAGCTGTTTTTGTTGGCTTGTTTGTGGTGCTGAGAACCAAACCCAGAGCATGCCAGGCAAGGGCTCTACCACTCAGCCATGGGGCAATTATATTCACAAATAATAAATACACAACCTTGTGAATATACTAAGACTCACTAAATTGTATATACTAAGAGGGCAGATTTTATTGCATGTGAATTATATGTTTAAAAGTTATTTTAAAAATACTTAGTGGTTTGCTTTATAATCTTTTATTCAAATGTCTCATTCACAGGTGAAATTCATTTAATTTTCCAATTCAGCAAGCAGATGTATATGATTTTTACATGGTTTCTAGCTTAGTATCCCCAAAGATTGTGATGTGACCAAGTAGTAATTGAAAGATAAATTGTCCATTTTTCAGCAAATAAAAAATACTTAGTGGTGTAATCAAGAATAAGTTAGTTTTTCAACAGACTGTAATTTGGGCAATTTGGGCTTAGCCATCTCTGTTAAGCCCTCTAAGACTTCTCCTGGGATCAGAGCTGGGGGTCACCGGTGTAGGTGTGTTCCACCATTTCAGCTGGGGCTGAAACTTCACATATCACCTATCTCATGTAACTGCCACTTAGCTGGCAGCCTCCCTTTCTTGTCACTCAAAAGTTTAGGTCAACCTACTTGACATCACTGGATCCCAAGAGAGCAGAAGCTATAAACTTGTTAATCCTGGGCTTGAAACTGCTGTATTTCACTTCTGTTACATTCTGAACACAAAGCAAATCATGGACAGCCAGGTTCAAGAGAGATTGCAGGGTTCACCTCTAGACTGGAAGGTAGCATGCACCCCCATGAGTGGGAGGAACTGTGGAGGTTGTCCCAGGAAAATGCCACAGCAGCCATTTAAAGCTAAAATATAGACTTTTGCTTCCTGCAATAAGGAGAACTGGGTAATGTGGAAAACCCTCATCTTACAAAACACCTAGAAATTCTTCATAAAGCAAATAACTATTTTCATAGATATGTGCACATGAATATAAAAACTGATGGGCGCAGTGGTGCACAACTGCAATCCCAGTGGCTTGGGAGGCTGAGGCAGGAGGATGGCATGCTCAAAGCTAGCCTCAGCAAAAGGGAGACACTGAGTAACTCTGTGAGACCCTGTCTCTAAATAAAATGCAAAATAGGGGGCTGGGGATGTGGCTCAAGCGGTAGCGCGCTCGCCTGGCATGCGTGCGGCCCAGGTTTGATCCTCAGCACCACATACAAACAAAGATGCTGTGCCCGCCGATAACTAAAAAATAAATATTAAAAAAATTCTCTCTCTTTTAAAAAAAATAAATATTAAAAAAATAAATAAAATGCAAAATAGGCCTGAAGATGCGGCTCAATGGTTGAGTGCCCCTGAGTTCAATCCCTGGTACCAAATAAAATGTACCAGGCATTGAACCTAGCAGCTCTTTTCCACTGAGCCACATCCCAGCTCTTTTTTTATTTTAAGACAGGGTCTCCCCGAGTTACTTAGGGCCTCGCTAAGTTGCTAAGGCTGGCCTTGAACTTATGATCCTTTTACCTTAGCCTCCCAAGTTGCACCACCGCCCCTGACTTGGAGTTTTCAGTGCATGGTTGGTAGGCCCTGTTGCCTCTGGCTCTGTGGCAAGGAAGGACATCTCATAGCAGATGTTTGTGGTTTGCTTTTGTGTTTATTGTTTCTTTCTCTTGTTAGAATATAAACTCCAGGAGGGCTGGATGTTGCTTCACCTTTGTATTTCTTTCCTTCTTTCTTTCTTTTGGTACCAGGGATTGAACTCAGGGGCACTCAACCACTGAGCCACATCCCCAGCCCTATTTTGTATTTTATTTAGAGACAGAGTATTACTGAGTTGCTGAGGGCCTCACCTTTCCTAAGGTTGCTTTGAACTAGTGATCCTCCTGCCTCAGCCTCCCGAGCCACTGGGATTTGGGGCGCGCACCACCCCGCCCGGCTTCGCCTTTGTATTTCTAACGCTTGTTATTTTGAGGTAGGAAGGAGGGAGGGAGGAAGGGAGAAAGGCAGACAGGGTAGGAGGGAGGAAAGGGGGAAGGGAGGAAAGCTCTTCCGGGTTCGCAACCCTGAACAGCCCTGGTCCAGGATCTCCCTTACTTGAGCTTATTAGGGTTGCGCCTAGGGCGGGGCGGGAGGGGACAGGAAGGCAGGCCTGGGACGGAGAGGGCGGGGCCCTCGCGGCGCCGTCGTCATGGAAACGCGCTAGCGCGCGGAACTACAGTTCCCAGCAAGCCCCGCGTTTCCGGTTGGCAAGATGGTGGCGCGTAGGAGAAAGCGTGCGGCTAGGGACCTTGAGGCGGGCGTTCCGAGCCCACCCGGCTACTACGGTGAGCGGCTCGGGGACGCGAGGTTGGGAGACGGAAAGGCTTTGCTGGGAGGTGTCCCGGGAGCCCCGGGAGCGGCCGCTTGGTTGGGCCACGGCAAGTCGAGAAGCCCCTGGCTCCGCGGGACCCACGCGGCGCCCTTCTCCCGGGTCAGCCCTTCTTGGTGAGAGCCTTCCTCACAGAGCCGTCTCTGAAGGCCTGTGCGAGGAAACTGCCTGCTCCCTTCGCCCTGAGTGCTTCCTTCTTAGCCGATACAAGATTGCTGTCTGCTTTCTTGCTCCCCAGCCTCCTGCCCCGGGGCCGCGTGCGTCCCCAAAGTGAGCGGCCCCCTAGCTTCGTGAAGGTGGCCCTTAGGGAGTCGCGCCGATAAGGGCCCTCGGACTAGATCCACAGCAGGTGGACCTCAGCCGGTCGGAGGCCGGGCGAGGGTGCGGCTCCCTTGAGAAAGGGAAGTTTGCGCCAGAACCTGAAGAATGGGTGCAGGGACGAGGTTTGGTGCGCAGGCAGAGGGCAGGTGTGAGGCCCGGCTTGTTGGGGAACCCAGAGTCGGGGTGGGGGAGGGGAGGGTGAAAAGAGACACCGTGGCAGGCCGGTCACACAGCTTCCAGAAGGATTTGGGTGTTGACCCCAACAGCAGCAGAGTTGGAGCCCCCCTCTCACGCGCCCCCGTGTAATTGCCAGATGAGTTCTCTCCTCCACCCCCTTGGGAGTCCCCCTTCTGCGGATGTGTGTGCTCACGCTCCGAGGTGGTGAGGCTCCGCCGAGAGGTTGGGCTCACAGAAGGAAGAATGCGCGATGGACCCACGGGCCTAGGAAGGGTCGTGGAGAAAGGGAATTGGGTGGATTAGGTGCTCACCTGCACTCACGGTAGCCTGACCCTGACTCCCATGCCACCATTTCCCTTCCAGCCATTCCGATCAAGTTCTCAGCAAAGCAGCGAGCTTCTCATTACCTTTATGTGAGAGAACACAGAGTTCGAGAAGGCACGCAGTCTACATGGCCTCAGAAGCGCACCCTTTTTGTCCTCAATGTGCCGCCATACTGCAACGAGGTGAACTGGCAGGGGACCTGTGAGCTCTGGAATGGGAGCCCCAGGGTCAAAATGTTCAGAAAGTGGAGGGGTGTCAAATGTTGAGAAGGTTGCCTTTACCTCTTGTGGAAAGAAATTGGCTTTTTCTTTTTCTTTCTTTTTTTTTAGTACTGAGGATTGAACCCAGGGACACTCAACCCCTGAGTCACATTCCCAGCTCTTTTTGTATTTTTTTAATTTAGAGAAAGGGATTCAGTCATCCTGTCTTTGCCTCCTCAGTTGCTGGGATTACAGCATGCACCACCGAGCCCAGCCAGGAAATCAGGTTTTGGCGAGTTTTTTTTGGTGGGGGATACTGGGGATTGAACTCAGGGGCACTCAACCACAGAGCCACATCCCCAGCCCTGTTTTGTGTTTTATTTAGAGACAGGGTCTCACTGAGTTGCTTAGTGCCTTGCTTTTGCTGAGGCTGGCTTTGAACTTTCAATTTTCCCATCTCAGTCTGTGGAGACGCTGGGATTCCAGGCGTGTGCCACCTC